CCGGCAACATAGGACATAATTCATTGATCATATCTCTTGGCAGGGAGTTAATAGTGTTTACAGCTGACAAATAAAAAATTAGGCATATAAGCAAATTATTTAGAGCTGAGAGTGACTTAGTCCATTCAGGCTGCTATAACAAAATGTCATAGGCTGGGAGGCTTATAAACAACAAATTTATATCTGGCAGTTCTTCTGGAGGCTGCAAGTCCAAGAGCAGGATGCCAGCACGGTAGAGTGAAAACACTCCTCCAGGTTGCAGACTTCCAGTGTATCCTCACAAGGTCCAAGAGTGGCAGGGACCTCTCTGGACCCTCTTTTTTAAGGGCACTAACCCCATTCCTAATCACCTCTCAAAGGCCCCAAGTCCTAAACTGTCACCTTTGTGGGGGGCTAGGTTTCTACATATGAATTTTGGAGGACACTAACATTCAGACCATAGCAGTGATCAAAGGAAAGAAAGTTAGGAAGGATTTAAAGTGATTGCCTCTAGGGCAATATGTTTTGATGAAAAGCATGTCTTTGCGGTGGGATGCGGGGACAGGATACGTGTACTTTTCATTTTCAGTCCTTTTGTACTTTTAGATTTTTTTTTTAACCATGTACACATTATACTACTTTGATAGTTTAAAGAAAAAAAAAAACCTTGAGTTTAACTGGCTCCTCCCATTACAGACTTTGAGACCCACAATCATTAACTGCAAACTTTTTTTATCTCCTTAAAGGAAGATTTAAGTTCTTCTTTAAGTAACAGGGTAAGAACCAACATTTAAATAAATTAGTTATAAGGTGTTAGGTGAAACCAAATGAAGTTTTGACATATGAAGATAGCAGTTTTGTATGGTTCAACTTAATATATGCTCTTTTCACTAAAAGAGTGCTAATGAAGCCAAAACCCTAATTATGGCCTGTTATACACCATATGCTTCATTTCTTATCTTGATTTTTCTACTTAATTTAACTAAAAAAATATATTTTTGAACCTCACAGCTCTGTCAAAAACACAAAACTATTTTCAATCATAGAAAGGGCTAAGCCATCAGTCTCCAGTGAGTTTTGGCATACTTTTGTTTGATATGTCTGTTACAAAGCAACTTGGTAACTTAACTCAAATTTGAAACTAAAAGGATGTCATGTGAAGGCATCTATTTAATAATCAGGCTTCTTGGACATGTAATATGCTGGAGTAATACATACTACAATTTTTCTATTTTTTTGTGAAGAGCTCTAACTAATGAGGGACGAAAAAGAATTTCTTTGTACAAAGGCAAAGGACACTTGAAAATAATGTCTCATACTTAGTCATTGTTTTATAATAATCCTTGATAGTATCTGAATCTCAAGTTTGCCCTAGGCTTTATAAAACCAACGCAAAACTCAAATACTCCCACCAAATTTGAGTTATTTGATTTCCTAGTCAAGGATCCTTCATGAGCCTTGTCATTCTAAACCTGACAATTTATTTCTGTTACCATGAAGGACTAAAAGCTATAGAGAATGTGTAGTTTCAAATTACAGTTCTTGTTATTATAGTAAGATAAGCATATTGCTGATAGACTCCTATATCTCTAGGCAAGGGAACCTGGCGATCAGCTGGTCTAAGCCCCTCTGTTCCCAGAGGAGGAAGCTGAGGCCCAGAGAAAGGGAGAAATTGAGCCTACACAGAAAGTTGATGAGATATGTAAAGTAACCAAAGAACCTCCACTTCTGGTGAGAACTTCTCTTATACTGTGCAGCTTTCTTAACTCAGAAATTCACCATCAAAAATATCAGTTTTGGGGAAAAGAAAAGAAAAACAGAATAGGTTAAAATGGGCTTTTGTAAGCCTGGAAAATCATGATTCTCCAGAAATTCTATAGAATTAAAAAAAAAAAATGTTGCCCCTCAGAGGTCAGGAATAATGATGGTAAACAAAATACTTTCCATATCCTGAAGTCTAGGCCATCCTTCTATGAATAAGAAAATATGGGCAAAAAGAATAGTAGATACTATCTTTCCATATTCCATCTCTATGTTAACAAAAATGTCTCACAAATAATGATCGGGACTCATTTCCTTCTATTCAAATAAGCTGTGGGCTTCTGGTGTGTTTGCCAGACAACTCCTAGGGCAAAGTTGGAGCAATTAAAAACTTGACTCCAATTTTCTAGTTCCCAGAATTGCATTATCTGATAACATTAATAAATAATTATTAATAAATATTAATAAACATGATTTACTATTTAAACACTCTTTTCCTTTCAGTTTGATGTTTTGTTTTCAGTGGAAAATAATTGTGTCAGAAAAGTGACTGTGTTCTTTTAAGCAGGAACTATCTGTCACAATCTGAGAGGAACATGAGGGAAAATTCAAAAGTCACTTTAGGCAATATGTCAACATTATTTCCTAAGAGACTTGAGAATGTCTCCAGGGGAGTGGGAATTCAAGTTCCTTGAACTAATTATTGTGTTGCAACCAACTCACTGTAGGACCATAGCATAATTACTTGTATACAAATTCATTATCTCTAATGTATTGTGTACAAGAATCAGCTCTGCCTTACTGGGATTATAATAAGGAAAATGGTCTTTTGGTTAAATGTTGGTTTGGGAGTTAGGAAATTTCTGTACATACATACTGTATTTCAACTTCCTGTGAATCACATAAGCTTATATTAGCTAATGATCTTTCTGCAGCAAACAGAAAACGAATTTACTTAAGCAATAAGGAGAATTTACAGGTGAACATAGCTTAAAGTCCAGAGGGCAAACCTTTTCCAAAGAGCCTATATAAAGTAAATAAATCCTCAATTCTTATTTTCCATTTATTGGTTCTATTACCAAAAGGTGTTTGTTTTTAAATTATTTTTTCTTGTGAAATACACATTTTTTAGAATTAGTTTCAGCTGTACAACACAGTGCAATAGTTACTTACACTTTTTACCCCTCGAGGTGACAACCTCCCTCCCCCAATCCGCCGCCCAACTCAGCATCCGCAATAGTTTAAATAAAACTCCCAAATTAGTCTCATTGGCCTCCTTTGTCTCACTGCCCTGACGTGGGGCAGTGAAAAACTACTGTGTTTGCCCTAAGCCAACCATGGAAACCAGGCAGATCAGATATGCTGAATGGATCATGCCCAGGAGGTGGGTCAATCCTTTTTAAATACATGATTCAGAAATTTGGAACAATGTTAGGAAGAGGAAAGGGGAGATAAATCCTATAAAAAAACTAACATCTCAATCTAGAGTCATTCATGCATTCATTGATTCAACTAACATTTCTTCAGGGCTCACTATATGTGAGGTCTTCATTTTTTGTTTTTTTTTAAAGATATTGGAGAATTGGGGAAGGGGAACAGTGTTGGGGAATTGGGGAAGGGGAACAGCCAAGTTGTCCTTTAATCATAGTTGTAGAGGGCACAGCTAGCTCAGCTCCAAGTTCAGTCACCAACCGGCCGCCAGTCGGCAGCTCGAGTCCGCTCAGCTCAAGGTGCTTTGTTCAATCTTAGTTGCGGGGGGCATAGCCCAGCATCCCATGTGGGAGTCAACCAGCAACCTTGTTGTTAAGAGCAAAGGCTCTATCCACTGAGCCATCTGGCAGCAGCTCAGCCGCAGAGTTCGGTTTTAGTTGTGAGTGGGCAAAGCCCACCATCCCATGTGGGAGTCCAACCGGCAGCCTTGTAGTTAAGAGCGCACGTTTGGCCGGCCAAGTGGTGCGTTGGTTAAGAGTTGGCTTGGGAGCGTGAGCTCTGAGCAGCAGGGCCGCAGTTCAGATTTCACGTATGAGGGCCACTGATGTTGCGCCCTCTACAGCTAAGATGGTGAACAACAGCTCCACCTGGAGCTGGGCTTCCGTGAGTCGCCCGCGATAGTGTAGGCTGCAGTGAGGCTGCAGTGGGCTGCCGTGAGCGGTTGGCAGCTGGTGTGAACTGCCGCGAACCACCATCAGCGGCTGTCCAGTGGCCAGCAAGCGACTGCCTCACCCGGGAAGAGCACAATAATACCAACATGGGCCAGTGAAGTGACGGCCTCTACAACTAGACTGAAGAACAAAAGGACAGCAACTTGTCTGTTCCCCTTCCCTGATTCCCCAATGCTATTCCCCTCCCCAAATTCCCCCAATAAAAAAAAAATCTTAAAAAAAAAAAGAAAAGCGCAAGCTCTAGCCCCTGAGCCACTCCGGGGCAGCTCAGCTCAAGGTGCCAAATTCAGTCTTTACTTGCGGGTGGGAGTAGCCCACCAGTCGAACAGGCAACCTTGTTGTTAGGAGCACGTGCTCTCACCTACTGAGCCATCCTGCCACCTGTTGGCAGCTCAGCTCAGGCACAGCTCACTGGCCCATGTGGGAATCGAACCTGCAATTCTGTTCAGAGCTTGCACCATTGAGCAACTTAGCCACTTGGCCAGCTCATGTGAAGTCTTCTTTTTCACTGCATTTCTAGCTTCCCCTTTAAGAGCCAGCACCAAGAATGGGACCTCAGACTAGGGACAGAATTATGAGAGAGATTAGGAAAACTGGTCTCCCAAGAACCTTCATATTTTTAGAGCTCATTCCTTAGATTTTCAAGTTTCTGGGAAAGGAAGAGAAATAGCCATTCATACATCCTACCCAGGTGCATCTTCTTGCTGTACCATTCACAATTTGGGGGTTTGAGGGACTCTTTAAAGCCTATTCACAGACCCAGGTTAAGAACCCTTGGGCTATATGAATCACTAAGATATAAAAGTGATCCACTTCTGGATATAAGATTTCCAATGATATTATGATTTGACAATGACATTTGAAAATACAGACTTGCTTTTCTGAATGGCCAAGGAAAGAGAAGCATACTTTTCTTGGAAGATGAGTGGAGGGGTAGTTACAGCATTTAGTGGTTAGACTTAGGTTCTCAAATGCCACCCAAGCCCTGGGTGGAGTTGAGTGAGAAAACTTAATCTCTCTAGCTTGTGGGTTATATAAAATAGGAAGGGAGGGGAAGTGTTTATATATATATATTTTTTATTTATTTTTTTACACAGGAGGTTTTATTGATGCTGATGGGGGTAGGAGCCCAGGGGGTGGGGTGGGGGGCTGAATCAGTCAGCAATGCATAAGGCCTGGGCATATGGGGGCAAGTTAGGGCACATTCATCTTCTCAGAATTCTGTGATTACTTTGAGGAAGAGAGAGCATCTTGAGGGGGGAGCAATTCGAAGAGCAGCAAGGGAGAGGTTAGGGACAGCTGAGAGCCCCTAACCTGAGGGAAGGCACCACAGTAGGCAGCAACATCTGTGTGGAAAGCTGGATCAACTGGTCAGTAGGGGAAAATGGGGAGGCGGCACTGGGTTGGCTTCTTAGGGAGGGATCCAACCTTGGCCTGGGTGAGCTCTCAAGAATACCTGGAATTCCCAAGCAGATTGGGGCAGGGCCCAAAGCCCCTTTCCCTGTGGGCCTCCTTAAGGAGAAATAGGCATTCAGGGAGCCCCCTGGCAAGGGGTGCCAGAATTAGTCCTTAAGGCACAGCTGGGGGCAGACAAGGCGCCAAGGCACAACTGGTGGGGGGGCAGGGGCAGCCTCCAAGCTGAGTGCCAGGGTCACAAGAGGATGCAGGACCGCCCACGCTTGATCGGTGTGGGGTTGAGCACAGCCCGGACAGCCTCAGCAAACACTTCCTTGATGCCGTCCTGCTGCAGGGCCGAGCACTCGAGGTAGCGCACAGCATGGATCTGCTTGGCCAGTGCCTGGCCCTGCTGCGGTGTGATGGGCGCCTGGCCCTGCTCCTTGAGGCGCCGTAGGGTGTCAGGCTGGGCTCTCAGGTCCTTCTTGGTGCCCACCAGGAGGATGGGCACATCAGGGCAGTGGTGGCACACCTCTGGGTGCCACTTGTGCCTCACATTTTCACAGGAGGGCGGACTTGCAATGGAGAAACAGATGACAAAGACGTTGGTCTGAGGGTAGGAGAGTGTGCGGAGGCGGTCGTACTCCTCCTGGCCCTCTGTGTCCCACAGGTTCAGGTTCACTGTGCGCCCATCCACTGCACTCTGGGCACTGTAATTGTCGAACACTGTGGGGATGTACTCCTTGGGGAAGGCGTTAGTCGTGTAGCAGATGAGCAGGCACGTCTTCCCCACCGCCCCATCGCCCACCACCACACACTTGATACTCTGCATGTGGGTGCAGTTGCTGCAGTGGAGGCAATGCCTCCTCCTTCTGGGCCCCTCTGGATGCAGTGACCTGGAGCCCTCCCCGCAGCGGGGGAGCTGGGGGCGGTGGCAGCAGCAGGCCGGAAGTGCTCATATATTATGGATGTTCCCACTGACGGAGCAGGAAAGAGCAAGAGAGATAACAGCAGATTAAGGCCTTTCCCCAGGCTCCCTTTGAGAAAGCAGCCTTTGGGAAAACATGCAGAAAGTGAGAGGCAAGTACCACTGAAATGTTTTCAACCATGCTTTGACTGTGAATGCCCTGTTTACAAAGCATTCTGAAATAACCAAGTGAGTCGCTACATATCTAGGATATCATAAAAAGAAGGAGGCCCTGATGATTGTACCATGGCCTGGCATTAAGAACCCCCCCCCTCTCTCTTTCTCCCCCCCCCCGCTTTACCTTGCTAAATCTGTGGACCCTGAAGATCCACTGATATTTTCTCTTCTACGGGGAAGAATGTTTTGGCGTTCAACAGTAGGCCTTGATACTCCTAGTGTAAACTTTGGAACTTGTTAGAAGGTGATAGAGGAAACAGAAGACAAATTGGAAAAGCAGAGAAAGACAACAGCAGGCCTTGTGACCCAAGTTTACAAAGTGGTAGGAAATAAGATGTGATTTGATTCTTATGAAGATTTGACTGTCTATGTCTACAATAAATGTTTTAGTAGAAGTCCTTTGGGTGTTCTTGAGGGAGAAAAAGGCACTACAGTAGAAAGGTGGGATCTTATTTCTAAAACAAATGCACATTGGTCAGGAAGAAACTGAACTTCAAGCTTTAGTCCCCATCTTGACCCCGTGCTCTTCTTCTACAGGACATCCCTCAAGGGCATGGCTTTGAGCTGACACTTTCACTCACTGTCTGTGGTCTCTAGGGATGGATTCTCTCAAATAGGCGAATACCAGCAGAGATTTTCTATTGTGTCTCCAGATTTACAAATAGAGCTGATCCTCAGTTACTTTGGAAGTTAGGACAAAGTGTTTCCTTGCAAATCTTTGTAAGAGAGGCTTAGTTAGGTGATAGATATCCTTCGGGCACATTGGACTTCAGGGATGAGCCAGCCTTCCCTGAACAGTGTTTTCTTCCTGGCATTAACTTGGGGGTTGAAAGAGGGGAGGGGTTACACACACACTAAAGATAATACTTGTCTTCATAATTTTTTCAGCGTCGTTTCCTTTTAGACCCAGGAGATAAATGGGTCTTCCTATAGCAGTAGTTTGTCAGCCTTTTCTGACTGCAATTGAGATTTTGAGGCAGTTCATTTGCCTGGTGTAATGAAATTGTCTTGGAGCTTTTGCTTGGCTCCTAACCACCCCCACCACCCACCTCCAGGCCCTGCCTCCAACTCTACGAACAATGCTTGTGGGCAGGAGACCTCTAGAGCTCTGGTCAGAGACTCCTTGGCTCAGGATGGAGTTGGTCTTTCTCTTTCCTGCCATTGCCTTCATGGTGGTTTCCGGGTTTCTAGTAACCAAGTATCTGCCTACCTTCTTGTTCCTGGCTGACCCTTTCTCTGTTCCTGAGTCCCTAGTAATTGCATTTCCATTCTAGTTCCTCAGTGAGGCTGTTGCCCTCTCTTCCTTCCATTAACTAGATTTGTCTGACCTTGAGTTCTAAACTCCTATGCCTGATTCACCTGCCTACAGTCCACCCCTCCTTGGCATGGAGTTGTTACTGGAGAACAGACCCTTCTTGGCACAGTGTCCAGGTTCTTGGCATCGTGAGCAGAGAATTGAACGAGACACAGAAATACAGTGGTGAAAGAACAATTTATTAGAAGTGAAAGTACATTCCAAAGAGGTGGAAGTGGGCCCGAACACAAAGGAGTGGCTCAAAAGGTGCTGACTTGTGAGGACTTGGAGTTTTTATTTCCTTCTCTTCTAGAATGGGCTACTCCTCTCTAATCGTGGGGCTCCTGTGATTGATATTGGCTAATGGTTATGGTAAACAAGGGCAAGTTTGGCAGAGGGGAGGTCTTTGGGGCAGTCATTTCCCATAGGCTGTGTTGGACGTGCAGGAATGTTACCTGATGTAGCTAGACACCTCAGAGACCCAATTCCTTTCTCTAACTGCCTGTGCTATGTTCCCCTTGAGAGATGTGATCCCCATAAGTCTCTATGGGAAGCTGAGGGACAGATCTCTTCTTCTATATCTGCTCTCTGCTGAATGTGGCTGTTGTCCCTACCTATTGGGGATTCATGGGACTTTCACCCTATCTGATCTTAGATGAGGGGAACGGGTCTCTAGATCTGCCTGGAGGACCATGTTGACCTCTGTGGTCGGGATGTACTGGAAGTCTTGTTGGGGTATCACTTGTAGCCCCATGGCCCCTAGATGAGGAGAAATAGATTTTAGTTAATAGAGTTAAAAGTGTTGGCCCAAGAAGCAGAATTCATAGCCACTGACGCAGGGTGACTGCGTGATGAAAAATGTGTTCAGCTTCATGGAGCCTGGCCTTTCTTCTGGTTTAACCGGTCATTCAGTTATTGTTCACCCGGGAGCTGGGCCTGGAGAGAACGCTGTGCTACAATAACCATAGTCAACAGACATTAATCACAAGCTTTAGGGTAATTATTTAAGCAGGGGGTAGGAGATTTCTATGATTCAGGTTAAAAACAATCTATTGTTTATGATTAAGAAACTGATTTGAGAAATGACTATAACCAGGGGCTATGGAGCTAAAACAATACAGAAAAGGAGACTCGAGTTTTTATAATGAGAAGCTCTTTTGTTTGGCCTGTATCAGAGTCACTCACCTGGCAGAGATGTAAGAGTGTTAATATTTTCATTTGGGGCATATATTTCACTTACCTTTCATTTTTAAAAAATTTTTAACAGGCAGAAAAATTTACACCTAGGTTATTAAATTTATTGAATGCCTTGAATCTCCCTGAAAACAACTCATTAACTTGCTAACATTGAATTGTAGCAGCTGACAGGAACACAAGCAAGATAGGTTAAATAAACTGGACAATCACCTAAGATCTCATAAATACGTGGGAAGAGGCTTAAATATCAATGTGATATAGACAACTATCAGTGTAAACATTTCAATAAAATGTGAACCTGCTGTAACAGCCACCTGGTCAAGAATCCCATTTTAGCTTTTACAAGAGATCAGAAGCTTAAGAATTAAGAATCATAGTCGTAACAATTGCCATAATTATCTTGTTTAAAACAGGAGGGAAAGGGCCGGCAGAGTGGCGCGATGGTTAAGAACTCGCTTGGGATGCCAGAGGGCCCCGGTTCGGATCCCACATGAGGGCCAGTGACACTGCCCTCCACAGCTAAGACGCTGAACAACAGCTCAACCTGGAGCTGGGCTGCCGTGAGTTGCCGGCGACGGCGTAGGCTGCAGCCCCTGCTGCAGTGGGTTGCCATGGGCTACCGTGTGTAGCCAGCAGCCAGCGTGAGCAGCCAGCAGCCGCAGTGAGTGGCCGTCCAGAAGCCGGCGCCTGATCTGCCTCACCCGGGAAGAGCGCAATGATGGTGCCAACTTGGGCCAGTGAAGCAACGTCCTCCACAACTAGACTGAAGAACAAAAATGACAGCAACTTGTCTGTTCCCCTTCCCCCAGTTCCCCAGCACTGTTCCCATCCCCCCAATTCCCCAATAAAAATCTTTAAAAAAAAAATACAGGAGGGAAAAAACATTGGTATATTCTGTTTTATATCTAAGTTATCTTGGCAGAAAAAAATGAAATGTACTTCAACTTTGCAAAAAAGAATTTGTTTGGAGCATCTTTTCCTAAAGACAGGGGTTTCTGTCTCTGTTCTAATCATTGAAACAGTTCAAGTGGTTACTAGAGGGTAAGTGGGGGAGAGGGGTGGTAGATGAGGGTAAAGGGGATCAAATATGTGGTGATGGAAAGAGAATTGACTCTGGGTGGTGAACACACAATGCAATATATAGATGATGTAATATAGAATTGTACACCTTAAATCTATGTAACTTTGCTAACAATTGTCACCCCAATAAACTTTATTGAAAAAAAAAGAAAAAAACAGTTCAATAGACCAATTGCAGTATTGAATTTTAAAAGAAAATTTTCCTTTATGAACAGTGTATGAAACTATCTAGTTTTAGCATCAGGATTATGCAAGACCAACACATGCAAAGTGAACTGTAAAGGTCTTGAACTTTTTCTGGGCTCTGAAACCATTGATATTACCTGGGGTATTTATTCTGTAAAAGTTTGACAGAGCTCATGTATTTCAGTTAGGGTGTTTTTGACTGCTAGTCACAAGAAAAAAAAATCTTTACACAATAAGAGTATATTTTTCTCATGTAGCAATTCCCAAAGTTGGTTTAGCGCTCAACCTCATAGAGAATCCGGGCTCTTCCCATCTCATGCTCAGTGGGTCAACCCCGTGTTCCTCTGGTCACAAGATGACTGCAGCAGATCCATAAGGACTGTCCCCAACAGGGATGAAGGAACACGGTTTCCTCACACATCCCTCTCTTTTTTATTTTTTTATTTTTTAGCTGAGCCACCCTGCTACCTGTTGGCAGCTCAGCGGCTGCTCACCTCAGGCCAGGACCGGAACTGCTGTTGTTCAGAGCTCACACTCTTGAGCGAGCTCTTAACCAACTGAGCCACTCGGCCAGCCTCATCCCTCTCTTTTTATTGGAGAAGAAAAACCTTTCCCGAAAGCATATCCGTCTCTCCCTCTTCTTTCATCTCATTGACCACTATTTGGTCATATGGTATCTTTAGCTGAAAAGCGATAATCTACTATTACTAAGCTTTCCACATTTTACTAAGCCATGAGACATTTCATATTATATGGGGCTTATCTCCTCCTTGAACTCTTAGTAGTACTCAACTTTATGGGCCACGTGGGCTTGTTTTCTTTTTTGAAGATAGATCTTTGACTACCTATTTCTTATGTTATTCTTGGTAAGTTCAAACTTTCTTGAGTTTCTTGAGTCAATTTTGGTAATTTATTTTTCTAGAAAGTCAATCTCCCATGATCTGGATTTTTAAACTCATTGGAATAAAGTTGTACATAGCATTTAAACTTTTAAAAAAATCTCTGCATCCTGTTTTCATTTCTAATGTTACTGTGT